ATACTTACATACATATATATATATATATATATATAATATAAAGTATAACAATATATTAAGGATAAGTAAAAAATAATATTAAAAAATAAATATGTATTTATTATGAATAATAATTAGTGAATCAATTAGTAGATGTCAATATTTACTATCAATCATTAATATTTATGTTTTCATTATGTATTATTCCTTTTTTTTATGTAATTGTTTAGCTATCACATGTACTTATAAATAGTTTAGTCATCTCTCAAAGATAATACATCAATTAGATTCTTTTTTTCATCTTATATTGTCTTGTTTATTCTCTACCTTTTCTTTCTTTTATAACACATGATAGTCTTTCCTTCATTAGAATTAACATAATAGTCTTTTCTCCATTGGTGTTGTAACATACAAGACAAAGTTGTGAAAAAATATATATCAAAGAAAGTCAATTTTTTCAAATTCATATTTCAAGGTTATATATTTTATTTTTATTCATATTCTATCTTTAATCATATTCTTCACATTATTATTCCATAGAATATTTGTATTGTTGATATCATTGTGAAATTTAAATATAACCGGTCTTAAAGATAAAATCATGAAAATAGAATTATAAGAACATTTTTGCAATGGTCTAAAAGACATTGTCAAATAAAAAAAAATTTAAGAATATTTTTTCCTCACCAGAAGTAGGAAAATTGTGTAACAATGAAAATAAAAGAATATTTATTTTTTCTCACTGGAAGTGAGAAAATAATATGAAAAGTGAAAATAAAATAATTTTCATCGGAAGTGAAGTTTTTTTCCAAAATATGAAAAAGAAAACAATAGATAAAGAAACAAATATGATACAAATATTATGTTTGATCATTTGATTATAATGAGAAAGATTCACCTTTTTTTTTTAAATAAGAGAAAGATGTAATCATTAAAGAGTTATGATTTTTTGAAAAGAATATATGATTGTGTTGTATCATTCATTTCCTAAAATGATAAAATAAAGTGTTAGTGAGATATGTCTTTTAAATATTTTTTTGTATGAAACATTTATTTGTAAATAATATTTATGAGATGATATAAAATTAAATTAGTGTAGATTTTGACATTAAATTGATGTTTAAAGATACATAACAAAATGTCATTTTTATAATGATTTCTCAATTTGAAAAATATACTATATTTTTCATACATCTAATTTGCTCCAAAAGTAACAATATTAATAAAAAAAATTAAGAAATATCCTAAGTTGGTTTATTGTCTCTTGAAGACAAACAAAATATTGAGATTTTTTTATGCAAGAGACCATTTTAACTAGGATTATTTCATTCCCTGAAGTGAATGTTCTAATGTATTAATTTTTGTCTTTTCATATTCAATAATGCAAGAAATTAATGTTATATAATACTACAAATATAATTGAAGGCTTTGGAAGAGCTAATATATTATTATCAAAAGGAATGAAGTTGCATATTAAACATGTATTATATTCTTCTTAATCTTATAGAAACTTATTAAGTTTCAATGAAATTTGTTTAAATGGGCAACATATTGAAACAAATAATGAAGGATATATAGAATATCTTTATATCATGAAACTTTATTTGAATTAAAAAGAAGTATTGGAAAAATTACCAACTTTCTTCTATGATCTATATTGCATGCAACTACAAGAAAATTGCAAAATAGCGACCGAAATTTATCAGTCGTTATTTAGCGACTGATTTAGTGACCGATTCTGAATAATCAAATAGGGACTGATTTAGCGACCAAAATAAGTCGTTGCTAGAAAATCGGTCGCTATTTCAGTCACTACTTGATTGTGTTTCATGAACACAAAGGTTGCGACGGAACCAGCAACCAACTAGCTACTAAATTATAAAAAACATTGTGACCGAATTAAATTCGATCGCTAAATAAGAAATTTTGATTTTTTTAGCGAAAGAATTGAATTCAGTCGCTAAATATTAGATAAAATTAGCGACGGAGTTGAATTCAGTCGATAAATGTTAGTTAAAATGAGCGACGGAAATGAATTCGGTCGCTAAATATTAGTTAAATTAGTGACGAAATTCTATTCGATCGCTAAATATTAGTTAAAATTAGTGACGGAATTGAATTTGGTCGCTAAATATTAGTTAAAATTAGCAAGGAATTTGAATTCGGTCGCTAAATATTAGTTAAAATTAGCGATGAAATTTAATTTGGTCGCTAAGTATTAGTTAAAATTAGCGACAAAATTCTATTCGGTCGCTAAATATTAGTTAAAATTAGCGACAGAATTCTATTTGGTCGCTAAATAAAACTTAAAAAAATATATTAATTTCTTAAAAGTGAGATAATATTGTTGTTGAGTATCAATCCCATTTTCTTTTCACTAGTACAAAAGAGGTATTCCACGTCGGATATTTTGAGCTTTTTACGTCAGAAAAAATATCGACGTAAATGTGGGAGACGTAAATTTACGTCAGACCTGTAAAATCAACGTAAATTTATGTCAGACATTAGAAAATCTGACGTTAAAAAGTAGTAAAAAAAACAAAAAAAAAACATAAGAATGCAAGCAGAACGGCCCGTTCTCCAAGCAGAATGGCCCGTTCTCCATTCAAAACGGCCCGTTGTGCTTTGAGAACGGGTCGTTCTGCAAGCAGTACAGGTCGTTCTGCTTCGTAGAACAACCCAAAAGAAAACGCCAACGACCTATACAAATGGAACAAACAAAAAATTGAATAAAACAGATAGCCACAGTAGCAATGCAAAGTAGAAAAGTGTTAACTAAACCTTGATTCATACCTGATGAGCTGCAACAATGTGCGAATGAGTAACAAAGAGTTCACCCCTCTGCAAAGGACAAAAAAACGATTTAGTAACAAAGGAGAGGGAGAGGGTTTACATAGAAAAAAACGAAAAGTGATGAAGAGTGAATGCACGCGATGTGCCTCGCACTCTCTTATTCAATTTCGCGTCCTTTTTTACGTCAGACCTGGTAGGGTCCGACATAAAATGTCATATCTACGTCGGACACAAGATACATCCGACGTAGATTTGACTTTTTACGTCAGATCATATCATGTCCAACGTAAAAAAGTTCACAAAAACTACAAAAATGCCACCGCGTCTTTTTTACGTCGGATTTTCGTATTTTCGACGTTAAAGGGGTAACGTAATATGCTAATTTTCCACTAGTGTTTTTTGTAAGAGCAAGACATGAATTTATAATATAAAAAAATATTTATATGCACTCCTACATAATTAATACCAATAGTTATTTATGTGAAAAAATATTTAGTTTTTTCTACGATTGGATTTTTAGGCATTTTTTTAATTAGAGTATATGTTTTTTTAAAATTTCTTATTTGTTTTGATCCATATTTATAATATATATTTCTAACTTATGAAAACTTTATTTTTAAATAAATTTTTATATTTAAATTTTATTGATAGAAGAGATGTGATATCTTGAGAAAAAAAAGAATTATAACATCCTCTCTCTTTCTAATAGGAAGAGTACAAATGTATTTTCTTAACTATTAGTATTTCTTTATTGTTGTGTGATAAAATTGATTATTTTAAATTATTTAACTAGAATCTTATTAATAATTTACTATATGATTTTGATATTTTTGTATAACTAATATCTGGTTTTAAACTTGATATGAAAATATTATGATATAACTAGATAAGATTTTAAATTAGTATTTTATTAATGGTTGATAATTAGAAAATAAAACAAGGATAAATACATTTTTTGAATTTTATATCTTAGATTTAAGATGAATAAATATATTAAGTTAATTAATAATTTATTTAAAATGTTAAAATTTAATTTATAAAAATGATATTTTAAAAGAGAAGGGTTATAATAACATCGGTGTAACTTTTACTAAGTATTACATCGCTCAATAACTTTATATTAAATGTGAATTTTATAAATTCAACCGTTAGATTGAAAGTTTTTTACTCTTAGATCATATATACAAAATCTTATATGAATTCAAGATGATTTGATACTTCATTCTTGTAAAACAAAATTGACGTAATATATACATTTCAAATAAAATATGAGCACTTTGATTACTTTTAAGTTGTTGTTCAATTTTAACAAAAATTGATATAAACATATAAAGTGATATGAACTTTCAATCTATCGGTTGGATTTACAAAATTCACATTTAATATAAATTTATTGAGCGGTGTAATACTTAGTAAAAGTTATACCAGTGTTA